TTTTTTGTTTTACACCCCTGCTGATCTGAATGCTGATTAAATTTTAAGCATATATAGTGCCGAAGCTTCGGCTTCGGCAAAGTGGCTTCGGCCGAAGCTTCGGCTTCGGCAAAATTTTAGCTTCGGTACATCCCTAGAAACAACTTAAGAATAGACGGACTACACGAAACACCAGGAGAGAATTGGGATGATTGCGAAAAAGCAGTAAAAGTAATGATTAAAAAACAACTTAAAATAACAAGTGAAGTGGTGATTGAACGAGCTCATCGTATCGGTCAACACAAGCATAACAAACCAAGAACAATAGTCTTTAAACTCTTAAATTTTCAGGACAAAAACAAAATTCTCAACGCAGTAAAGCACCTTAAAGGAACCGGCCTATACGTTAATGAAGACTTCGCTCCAGAAACAACTGAACTCCGAAGAAAGCTTTGGGAAGAAGTAAAAAAACTACGCAGCGAAGGTAAATACGCTATTTTAAAATACGATAAAATATTTAGTCGAGATTTCAAAAAGTAGCGCCGCGTTCTCTTTTACTTAAACTTTTTTTAAACGAACGCGTATTTAATTTTTGCTTCTTAACTTAATGACTAACAAAACAATAGATTTTGAATCGCTGCGTTTTAATGTCTTCGAAACCGCAAATAACATACTCAATGATTTTTGTGACGTTGATACGCAAATCTTTCAAGTTAATAACTTTGATTCGCCTTATTTTAACATTAAAAATTTTAAAACTGAACTCCAAACTTTTAAAAATAACTTTATGGCAATACACATAAATATAAGAAGTATAAATAAAAATTTTGATAAATTAAAACATTTCTTAACCGATTGCAATTACTCATTCAGTATGATTTGTCTGACAGAAACTTGGTGCTCTGATGAATCAATTCAAAAAAATTCTAACTTTCAAATTCCATATTATAAATTATTATCTTCTGAAAGGAAAGCAGACAAAAGGGGGGGAGGGATTGCAACATATATTCGGAATGACCAAGCAATAAAAGCAAGAAAAGACCTTTCGATTTCTGATTCCAGTTGTGAGGTACTTACAATAGAAATCACTAACTCCAAAACTAAAAATATCTTAGTTTCTACCTGTTATAGACCACCTGAAGGAGATATAAAAAAATTTTCAAGCTACTTGGAAGATATCTTTCTTAAAATTAATAGAGAACAAAAAAAACTATTCTGCATAGGTGATTTAAATATAGATTGTTTAAAATACAAAAAGAATGCGACCACCAAACTTTTTTTTGACAACATGTTTCAACATTGTATCTTTCCGATTATCAACAAACCTACGCGAATAACCCCGAATTCAATTTCTGCAATAGATAACATCTTGACAAATGCATTTCAAGATTCCTCTTTAAAAACAGGTATAGTTAAAACCGATATTTCGGATCACTTCCCAATTTACTTTTCTATAAATCAAGATACAAGAATAAACAACAATTCTAAAACCAAAATTTATATAAGAAAAACTAATAAAACTTCTATTCAAAAATTTAAAGACACACTATCAATAGTGAATTGGGATGAAGTATATAAAAAATGC